GTTTACGTCCTTGCTCGCTCCCCCAGAGGAAGAGGAGGGGCGGGAGGGCGGGAAAGCGAGCATGAGGGAGGAGGACGAGCACGACGACAACTACGACGACGACGACGACGACGACGACGACGACGACGACGACGACGACAACGCCGCAGCGCGGCGGGCGGCGTCCCGCACGCGCGCTCCTCATCAGGCGGAGGCCGGGCTCGGGCGCGCACGGCCCGCCCGGCGGCGCGAGGAGGGGGGGCGGGGCCGGCGCGAGCGGCCGCGGAGGGCGGGAGGAGGAGGGCGGAGGGCGCTCACAGCACGACGGGTGCAGAAAGAGGAGGAGGAGGAGGAGGAGGAGGAGGAGGAGGAGGAGGAGCACGAGGGAGGGAGGAGGAGGAGGAGGAGGAGGAGGAGGAGGAGGAGGAGGAGGGCGCTCACAGCATGACTGGTGCAGGAGAAGGAGGAGAAGAGGGATGAGCACGAGGGAGGGGGAGGAGGAGGAGGAGGAGGAGGAAAGGAGGAGGAGGAGGAGGAGGAGGAGGAGGAGGAAAAGAGGCTCCAGAGGAGATATCTAGGGGAACAAAAAGTGGCAGAAAACAAAAACTCGGAGGTCCGCGCGGATTTCTCGGATCGGCGCTGGACCCCCCTCCCTGGCGCGCGGAGCGCGCCAGGGGCGGCGCCGGAGGCGCCGCCGGGGGGCCCCAGCGCCGATCCGAGAAGTCCGCGCGGACCTGCGAATTTCTATGTTTATGTAACTTTATGTTCCCCTAGATGCATCCGTACGCGTCGGTCGGAAGAAAATTGCCCCACGACCAGCGTGCATGTGCCAAGCACTGGGCACGCCACGACTTACTCATCCCTGCGTCCGCAGCTTCGCAGCGCCGGTACCGTCCTCGAATGTCTGTTGCGACTCCCCCGCGCTGTGGCCAGCCGACTCAAGATGCGAGCGAATGGAAAGCTGTGCAAACTAGGGTGATGGTCAAAACCGCCAAACATCTTAGGAGTTCTTACTGTACGTAACAACTCGTGACAATCCCACACGTTTTCCTCGGACGCGGTAGTGGATCAACAACCAGATCAGAAACGGATGGCGGGATTCGCTCGAAACCGAATGGCCACCTTGTGCAGGCATGTGCACGACAACGGCAGTCTTGGCAGGCCGGAAAACGATACCTCTGAGCAGCCTAGACAAGTGCGCGTACGAAGCGGAGGCACATGAAGAGAAAGGAAGAGACGACAAGATTAACACGTACGAAAACCGAAACAGAAAGGCTGGATAGGGAGGGAGACGGATGAAGCTGGACGGCAAGCCGAAAAGGCATTGAGACCCCCATACTGATGACTAGCAGCCACCGCGGCCGCTCGTTTAGATCCCTTCTCGATGAGCAGGCCCTCGCCAAAGGCTGCGTCTACCATACAAATCCGCACTAAATGCTACGCACCCCTTTGCGAAGAAATAACGCCGAACCGACACTACAAACTTCGTGAGAGATGCGGGAAAAGGGCGTCCCTCCGCCCCCTCTCGTCTCTTCCCTTCACGCTGATCGGACTTCCCGCCTCCTCCTCCTCCTCCTCCTCCTCCATATCCCCCTCCATCTCCTCCTCCCCCTCCCCCTCCTCCACCTCCTCCACCTTCTCCTCTTCGTCCTCCTCCATATCCTCCTCCACCTCCTCCTCCTCCTCACTCCTCCTCCTCCTCCTCCTCCTCCATCTCCTCCTGCCCCGCCCCTCCTCCTCCTCCTCCTCCTCCTCTTCCTCCTCCTCCTCCTCGTGCTCCCGCACCTCCTCGCGCCATCCCCTCCCTTCGCCCACGGCCGACCAGGGCGTCTCCAGGCGCCGGCGTCGTCCCAACGGCAGCGGCCGCCTGGCGCCGTTGGGGGCGGGGGCGGAAGCGCCCGAACCCGCGAGCAGCCTCGCAACCTCCTGCCAGTGGCTGAGAGTTCGGCGCGCTGCAGCTGGCGGAGCGCACGGTTAACGCAGACGGCCACAGATAATACTGATCGTCATAACCATACTACTCACAATGCTAAAAAAACAATAGTTACAATAATACTACGAATAGTGTCGCTGATGAAACATCGCAACAGTACTGCTAATGAAACCACACATGATAATACAAGTAGATCATGATAACGATTCGTATTGTCAATCCGGATGCACGATGATAAAGATACTTACGAGTCATAGGGATGCACGACAAGGATGCAGGAGCCTTGGAAGGCCATGCTGACACTTTTTGAACGGTGCACAAGCGAAAACGGCCAAAAATGGGCCGACGGGAAACGATGCAAGGTGGCCCGTGGAAAATCGTTCATCCTCACTATCCGCGTTTTCTGTACAATTCGGGGCGTGCTGGAGGTAATCTCTCGGCCGCCGAAGCAGTCCGGATGTTACCACCATCGCCGAGATCGGGATCATCTAGCTTTCGGTGGAAGGAACCGGTGATATTGGTGTTGGCGCCGACCTCTGGGCCCCCGATATGAATGGGGCCTTCTGCAATCCCTCCTGGCGCCTCAGAAGGCCTGCAAGAAGCACGAGGGTTTTCTAAGGAGGCCTCTGCCTTCTAGGGAGCCCCCCCCTTTTCCTAGAAGGCCGTCCCTGCCGCCCCCCCCTCTCCCTCCCCCCCTCTGCGCGCCGCCGATATAAGACGCACCTGGAAATGATGGACGTGAGAAGGAAGGGGAAGGGGGACAGTCCAGCAATGGAGTGGCAAGCAGCATGCGAGGCGTCTGCCGTCTGATGCCCGCTCGGTTGATCTGGACTGCACCCACGGATCCCTCTCTCCCATACGTGCTCCACTCAGATCCGCCGACCCTTTGGGGGTGCCCAGGCGCGTGAGATGGTCCCCCCCCTGAAACCCCACCCCCAAGGACCCCAAACTGCAAACTTGAGGGTGGGGGCCTGGCACGGTAAAATCGTGCGGCGTCGGCACGCGCAAAGGTTCTTGACACCGCGTCGATCGCTCAACCGTGAGTCGATCGTTGCCCCAGTCGTTCAGGGTTGAATTCACCGTGTCACCAGGAGAGCCCAGAATCGATTCGATTAGTCGGATAGGCGATCGACATGAGTCGGATCGGTTGAAATCGGCAGCCGAATCGGGAAAAGTCGAATCGGCGGAAAACGGCAGGCCAGTAGGCGTCGAATGAGACATCGGCACCCAAATCGGCATCCGAGATCGCATCGAATCGGAATCGGAAATCATCGAAATCGAATCGAGTCGAATCGGGGGAATCGCAATGAGCCTTAGGTCGGGCATGTCCTCCTACAGGCGGATTGAGGAGGAAAAAATAAAAATACCCCCCAAAAAACACACACACACACACACACATACAAAACATGACAAGCATTGTCGAAATAGCGTCCCCATATGATCCAGACAATGATGCGCAACATACTGGGAAAGACACCAACACTTCGGTAGAGATCGAGAAGAGAGCGCGCACTATGGAATTACTTCTGTTCCGCACTAGTTTGCATGATTTTCAATACGTTGATGCGCTGGTGGCCAAAAACATCGACAAACTTGAAGAAATGTGCAAGGGGCGCGAAGAACCAGATGCCGAGACATCGCCGAAAAAGGAGCCAGATTTCTTTGACAGGGAGGCCGCTTGTGAATCATATTCTGGAAATTAATAATTTGCTGAAGCCGCAGTTTACGATATTTCAGACCAAGACGTGGCCGTTCAGACAACCATCTTGGAAGATAATTACGTTTCCCGCGCTTCCAAAACTCAATCATACATTTCAGACAAGGATGTGGCAGTGCAGACGAACAGTTTGAGGGAAAACTACGCTTCACGTGCATCCAAAACTCAAGCGCTCCCAAAACCCTGGCGCTCACGGTGCAATGGTCGAGCAACGCAACCGGACATGATTGATACTTGCAACATGGGCGTGCAAAATTGTTATGGAGTGGCTTCGGTACTTTTGCAGACGCCGTCCGGGAGTACAACGAGCGAGGAGTCTGACATACAGGCAAACACTTCGGATGTTGCGCCGGCAGCTCTAAGCACCAAATGGCACCCCAGACCGGAATGAAGGGCACGAGGGGTCGTTGATCATACTGAGCTTGAAAGGCCATATCTCGAAGGGCAGCCCGTGTACAAAGTTTGCAGGACGGCACTGTGAGATTGAAAGATTCTGGTGGGCAGCATTTCGAGACAAAATCCTCTATTCTTTCAGTCCAGAACTTCTGCCGTAACGGGGTGGTCGTCGAAGACGCTGCTGACGCACCCACGCTTTCTGAGTCAAATACTCGTGTGTTTGGTATGCTGATTGATCTAAGCATGCAATTTCGCACCATTGTCTGATTCCCCCTCCCCCTCCCCCTCCTCCTCCTCTTCCCGGCCCCCCTCCCTCTCTTCCCACCCCCAGCGCTTGCATTTGACAAGCATGCAGGTCATGTTGCGAATTCTGTGCGTGCACCGGGCCGGCCTCCATAGAGTGTAGGTCTGCAACACTTTCGCATTTCCTGCCAATATGTTTTCATGGTGCTCCTGTCGACTCCTTGCCGATGCGCCCTTGCCTGGCGCCTGGCTGGACTCACTGACCATTCTTCGACACAAGTTTGAATATTCCTCCTGTAGACAGGCAGGCCCTTTGTGGGCCCCGGAAACGGCAGGGCCGTAGTTTCAACGTTTCCAGAAAAATGTCCATTGAAAATGGAAACGGCAAAAAAACGGCGGCCGGAAACGGCCAAAACACGGCTCCAGGACTGGAACCGGAGCCGACGGAACCGGTAACAAAAACGGCGTCGGACCCGCAAAACGGAATCGGTAAACAAACGGCCCTGTCGTTTCCAGGGCCCACTAAGGGCCCGACTTGGAATGAGCCCCGTGCCACCCTGTCGTCGCCTCTCCCCCAAATGCTCCCGCGCCGCTCCGCAGCGCGGCGTTTCCACCTGGAGGGCGCCTTATCGCTGGCGTCGCCGGCGCGCAGCGCGGCCGCAGGAACCTGCCGCACGAGCCTCGAGTGAACTCACCGGAGGAGGAGAAGGAGTTTCAGGAGGAGGAGGAGGAGGAGGAGGAGTTTCAGGAGGAGGAGGAGGAGGAGGAGTTTCAAGAGGAGGAGGAGGAGGAGGAGGAGGAGTTTCAAGAAGAGGAGGAGGAGGGGGGCTCCTTTTGGGCCTCAAGTCGGAGGGATCGGCGAAAACGCGGCGCATGCCTGCCGAGCCCACGTCCTGGGGGCGACGTGCGGAGCGGCAGAGCTTTTTTTTCGGCGAGCGCCCTACTGCAACGTAAACAACGCATCACATTCCTGCAATTGCCACACACTGCATCATGTTGAACTGGCAGGGCTGAACCTAAACGGCGTTTTTCGTGTTCGTTTTGTGTTCGTTTTCCCTCGCCTCTGTCTCGAATCCGCCTTTATCGCAAAACGAAGTCGAAACGAAAACGGCTCACGAAATCGCCAAAACACCGTTTAGGTCCACCCCTGACACTGCATCATATTGAACTGGTATGGCTCCCCCCTGCCCGCCCCCCCCAAGGAGTCGCGCCACATCCGCCAACCAAACGTGGTGAACCCCTTTTCCGGCCTCCAAAAGCCTACCAACACCTATGGAACACTGATGGTTTGGGCCCTTTGGCACCTCCTGGGGGTCCCAGAGGACCTCAAGACGGCTTAAGATGTGGTCAAGACGGGCCAGAAGCCCCCAAGACGGCCCCAGAAGGCCCCCGGAGGGACCCCAAGAGAGCCGCTGGAGGCCACAAACATTAATGATCACTGGTTCTTGACACCTTTTACCGTTCTCGCCTTTTTTCGACGCTCGGTGGCCCATGGCGGCCCAAGCAGCCTCCGAGATGGCCCCAAGACGGCCCCTGGGGCATCTCGGAAGTCCTCGAAACGGCCTGAAATGACCCCAAGATGCCCCAAAGAGGCGCCCCCAAGACGGTCCAGGAGGCCCCCCAAAAACAGCCCCAGAGGACCCCGAGAGAGCCCCAAGGGAGCCCCGAGAGGCCCCGAGACAGCCTTCGAAATGGGCCAGACGGCGCAAGAGCGCTCCAAAGCGGACCACGACGCCCCCGAGAGCCCACAGGATGCCCCACGCCGGCCCCCAGAAGCTGAAACGGGGGGAGGCGCCTCCGGCCCCAGTGGCGCTGGCAGCGCCCCGGAGCTGGCAGAACGACACGGCAGAACCTCGCGGCAGACGAGCAAGGCAAACCACCGACGCCAAATATTTTACGTGCTCCGGACGTGCACTTCGCGGAGCGAAAGGAACCACGTCTAGAAGCGGCGTGCTGAGAGGCAGCGTGTTCCGCGAAGGCAAAAGAGTGACGTATCCGGTAGATCCAACTGTTGCATACTTGCTGCATCTTGTATTGCATTACATGATTATGTTCCCCGCCTTACCACCGCCACCAAGGAGTCACGCCACATCCGCGCAATCCCCCATTCTGGGGCCCAATGACGCACCAACGCGCACGAGACATATATGGTATCGGCCCTCTGGGGCCTCCTGGGGGTCCAAGAACAAACTCCATATATCTCCACATGGCATCCAGACGGCCCAAGACGGCCCAAGGTGGCCCAAGAGGGCCCAAGAGGCCCCGAAGACGGTCCCGAAGGGCTGCAAGGGAGCCCCCAAGAGCACCTCCAAAGGCCAAACACATTGATTTTCCGGTAAATAGGCTTTCATCGGGGTAGAGGCCCAAGTGGGTCCCAAGATTGCCCTAAGAACCCCCCCAAGACGGCTCAAGAGGCCCCCGAGACGGACCAAGAGGAACCCAAGAGAGCCACAGGCGAAGCCCCGAAAGGGCCCCCCCAAAGACGGCACAGGAAGCCACAAGGCGAAGTCCCGAGAGCCCCCAAGACGGCACTGAAGGGTCCAGACGGCGCTGTGGCGCCCCAAGCTGCCCAAGAGGCCCCCAAGAGGCCTCAGGGAGGCCCCTAAGAGGCCCCCAGGGGGCCCCAAGGAGCCTCCAATCGGCCCCCAAGAAGCCCCCTTAACGGCCACAAGCAACCACCAAGAGGCCCGCGGAATTGTATACGAATGGCGCGCTGTTGCTGTGCTAATCGGAGCTTGAACTTGGCGATGCCTTGTGAAGGCAGGCTCGTCCCGGCGCTGAAACGGGTGAGGGGGGGGTAGCGCTTATGCCCCCGGTGGCGCTGGCAGCGCCCCGGGGCCGGCAGAACTTCGTGGCAGACGAGCAGGGCAAACCACCCAACGCCCAGTCTGAACGTGCTCTGGATGTGCACCCCGCGGAGCGACAGGCAACTTTGCTAATCTGTCGCTTATTCTTTCCTCACGGCGGCGAGCCTGGGGGGCAATGAGAAGGGACAAGCCTTCTCAGAAGGCTCGAAAGTCCCCCGGCCTTCTGAGAAGTTTTCTGAGCCTTCCCCGAAGACGAACAGAAACGCCTCAGAAGGCGCGAGAGTTTCTGAGAAAGCCGGCGCCTTCTGAGAAGGCTTTCTCAATATCATTTCCCCCCGCCGCCGCCGCCGTCCTCCCTTGGGAGGCGCTCCGCGCGCGCACGGCGGGGAGGAGGAGGAGGAGGAGGAGGAGGAGGAGGAGCACGA